ACCATTGGGGGGGGAGGGGGGGGGGCCGGCCGAGCCGGGATCATATATACAGAGAGAGAGAGAGAGTCAACCAAGAAGAAAGAACGAAGAAGGTAAATAACAAGAGAGAGCTGCGGGTTTTTGCACCGCAAACCCCGCAGCTGACTCCGTAACACAACAGGTCCTACGGCTGATGCTATAAATCCTGCAATACCCACAATAAGGAATATACCATATCTCCCATAGGTTAGGGTCCTTAAGGTAATGCACGACTTATATCATCAACCGTATGGCCCTATGGATGGCTCTGGAGTTCAGAATCTTTCTGGGGATCCTGAAACCCATACTCTCAAGTCTGAGAACCGGGGTTTAGCCATAATAATTAGAATAGGGTTCCGGACTCCTCTATAGTAGAAATCTAATCACGAAACCTCATGGTTTAGGGTTTAGGGTTTAGGGTTTAGGGCTCAAGACAGTATTGGTAAGTTATTTGGGCCCCTATAGTAAACCTCAAACGTGCACGGGCTCTTTCTCGGAGACCTGACCTGCTGCATTCACCGTTGCCTGGTACCGACCACTGGAGTCTGCTTGCGAAAAGTATGAACGGTTTAGGGTTTAGGGTAATTAACTATGAACTTCTGGTTGATTCTCAACAATGCACGCTGAAAGAAAATCCTAAACCCTAACCCTAAGCCCTGAGACATCAAACCTTAAACCGAGTCCCAACTCTAAGCCGCAACCGTCAACCTAAAAACTTAATGTGGGGGGCCTCAAAATTGGAACAGTCCCCCTTGGGGCTCCTTAATATTTAGTTGTCGTACACCCAAAGACTCCAGAACCCCCACTTAACATTAAGACCCCCGTGCCCTAGACCCATGAACCCTACACCCTAAATCCATAAACTCTAAACCCTAAAACCCTTAAACCCGAAACCCGCAATCGAGGCCCCCCCTTCCGTCCTGTAGCCGAAGGCGGAGCGTCTCCAAGGCACCCTCGGCTTTCTCCAGGGCCGCCTGACTTTTCGGGTTTAGGGTTTAGGGGTTTAGGGTTTAGGGTTTAGGGGTTTAGGGTTTAGGGCTTAGGGATTAGGGATTAGGGGTTTAGGGTTTAGGGTATACTTGGAGGTTCATGGGTAGTTATAAGTGGGGTTTTAAGTAGGGTAATTAGAATTATAACCCAGATTCGGGGACTTATAACCCTAGTTATAACTACCCATGAACCTCCAAGTAGGGTACAGGGTTCAATATAGAGGATCGTGGGACTTTCGCACTGGCGTGATAAAGGCAACTACATTTCTAACTACTTATCAACCCAGGTACTTGTGTCCTTACTAAGTTCCATGATCGCCCCGGTTCTAGAAGGACCTAAACAAGTTTAGGGTTTCGGGTTTAGGGTTTAGGGCGTCAGGGCTTAGCCGAAACCCTAAACTCTACAGGCTTATGGATTCTTGGGGTCTTCGGGTTGCGGTTTCGGGGATGGGTTTGTGGATGAGGGCTAGAACTTTTGCCTGGGAAGTTGGGGTTTTGGGTGTTCCGTCTAAGTTTTTAGGGTTTTACGGTTTAGGTTATAGGGTTTAGGGTTTAGGGTTTAGGGTTTTACGGTTTAGGTTATAGGGTTTAGGGTTTTCGGATCTGGGCTTGAAGTTTGGGCTTGGAGGTGTGTCGTTTGGGCTTGGAGGTGTGTCGGGCAAGATGGAGCACCCGAGTCTGCAATGAGCCGCTAACGGGGAGCAGTGCCAGCGCCCAGGTAACACAGGGGCCTGAATAACTAGAATAGGGTTTTGGGGCCCACTATACTATACTTATGATAAGGAACCACCAAAATAATATTGGTAATTATTTAGGCCCCCATACGAGCGACTTTGGAGAGACATGGTAGCCCACTGGAAGTCAGCATGGACTGGCCGGACCTTCTGTCCATCTCCTGCGCCAGGAACCCCTGCAAATGGGTAGTTCTCTAAATTAGGGTCCCTTTTAGGGTCCTTTTGTATAAGGGTGCCGTACTATATTGGGGACCTAAAAAGGGGCCCTAATTTAGAAAACTACCCAAATCGCGCGAAGGACAGCTTTCCCAGTAGCGTGCATGCCTCTCCGCGCTGGCCTCGCGAGAAGGCAAGGCACCACTAAGAGAGCTTCGTAAACTGGGGCTGTCCTGTCACCAGCTTCGTTGTTCATGTCACCAGGGAGCTACCGTGCTTGTATCAACAATTGCCAGCTATTGTAAACTATTGTTAACTGCGATAAACAGTGAATAACATTTGTTAACTGTTATCGACAGCTGTTAACTAGTAGCATTTGCTACTAGCTATGATTTACTATCATTAGCAGCTGATAACTATCATGAACACTACCAATAGTTGTAACGCATCATTAACATTTACAAGCGTTTACTGGCTAATGTTTACAATTCGTGATTGCTATTAAGTATTAACTGTTACTAACTGTAGTTTTGATACCTACTTGCCATAGTTAGCTGCTGAAGATCAACTATTAACTCGTCACTATTAATTGTTCGCTATCAGCTGTCATATTTAGTACATATGAACTAAAAGCTGTTAACAACTGAAACACATACTCACAAATAGCTGTTATTGTAACAGTAACTATAGGTAAATGGGGACTATGCGGGGACCTTGTTACGCACTCTTCGGACATCCACAAGGAATCCTGAAACCCCTTATAGGACTTAGGGTTTAGGGTTTAGGGTCTAGGGAACTCTTATATATACATATATACTTACACACACACATATAGATAGCCCTAGACGCTGGAGTACTATGAACCCTCCACCCCTTTGGTAATGTAGGAACCTGAGTATCAAACCCTGGCCTTATAACCCGACAATATATTCGGATTCATCTCAAAAGCCCTGGCAAAGGCCCAGGGTTTCTTAATCAGGTTCCCAGTAATGGGGACCTGTCTCGGTTTGAGCTCCTAAACCCGAAACACAAAAACCCTAAATCCTAAACCCTATAACCCTAAACCCAAAACCCTAAAACCTTAACCCTATAACCGTTAACCGGGCCTCCTCCTCGCTGGAGGGCTTTTGGGGCTCCTGCATGGATGAAAGCTTTGGCGCTGAGCCTCGGCTCCGAGGAACCGATCAGAGGATCGAGGAGGAGGATTTAGGGATCCTTCAAGCATCCTTAAGGGATCCTTTAGGGATCCTTTAAGGGATCCTTTAAGGATCCTTTAGGAATCCTTTAGGGATCCTTCAAGCATCCTTAAGGGATCCTTTAGGGATCCTTTAAGGGATCCTTTAAGGATCCTTTAGGAATCCTTTAGGGATCCTTTAAGCATCCTTAAGGGATCCTTTAGGGATCCTTTAAGGGATCCTGTAACGTATCCTTTAAGGATCCTTTAAAGGATGCTGGGCTGGATGCTGGAAAAGGCTCCCACCCCAAAACAAAACCAAAAACACCAGGCCTCCCCAGCAAAAAATTGCCCAAAAGAGGCAAAAACCCTGGACCGAAGGGATTGGAGCTTAAGGCACAGCCCCCTTAAAAGCAGCAGTTCCAAAAAACTGCGCTGGCGAACCCTACAAACCTTAAGCCTTAAACCCTAAACCTTAAACCCTAAACCCTAAACCTAATCCCTAAACCCTAAACCCTAAACTCTAAACCTTAAACCCTTAACCCGTTCAGGTCACCGTCCTGGATCGCTTCCGGCTCTTCCTCTTCACCTTCGCAGCTCTGCTGCGCCGACTCGGTCTCTGCCTCTGCGGGAGACCATCCTCCCACTAAACTATGAGGGTTTAGGGTTTAGGG